GGCTTGGTGATTTTAAAGCTCTTTTCCAATCTAAATGATTCTATGATTCTATGAATAATATATGAGAAAAGTAGAAGACATTTTTAATTTCTGATCATCTATATGTATTTTAAACTACAAAGTTTGCAACATTTAATCGTGTGATAAGGACAGAATCAGTATTGTTTTTAAAAGAGCATCCATATGAAATCAAAATTAGGGCAATAAGCTCCCAGTAATAAGCAACTTCCAATAGAACAGACAATTTACTTAAGGTTCTTACAACTACTTAGAGAACCATATTTAAAAAAGGTTTAATATGATTTACACACATTAAATAAACCAGAACTTCATTATTAGCAGTAAGGAAGCTCTGTCAGTGTTACTGTGTTCAGCTGTGATGAGATGGCTGCTGAAATACTTGTGTATTCCTGAGATTCATCAATGTAAGCAACTGTTAATCAGAGTTTGACAGTAGAGCTGTAAGGACTGGGAATATATAGACTGTAATTTAGCTAAATTACTAAATTTTAAAATGTAAGTTGAAAAAGGCACTTTATATACCTAAATCAAGGACAAAAAAGTTAATAATTATTTGTAAGTAACGTTTAAAAAGATTCAGTGGCTGCAGTGTTCAGAAAATGCATATACTTTTAAGACTATTTTGGGTTTGTTTTTTTTTTAAAGTAAAAGCAATAAGATGACCTTGCTGAATTGTTTTTAAAATGTTCTTTATGTTAATTAATATTTACAGAAAATAACAAAATCATCCATGTATATAAATCTTACAGTTCTATGGAAGATCATATTAAGTATGATCAAGATTTTTAAGTGTTTGAGTTCATAATTATTTTAACATAATTACTATTGCAAATGCTGTGGTAGTTGTCTGTGAAGTCTAGCTAACAATTTCACCAAAAAGAGAATGTAAATTTTTACACTGATTTTAGAAACATAAATTATGTGACCTTTTGAATCCAATCAAACAATTTAGTTTACTTTTTGTTCCCCATTTTCATCTTCTATTTTTGATCATTCTTCGTACACAGGGAAAAAAGCTGAGAGAATCATAGAACAGCCAAAGTAAATCTACAGTGTGACTTGAATACAGGACTTAAAGGTAAAAATCTCTTATCTGGTCCCTCTGAAATAGTGCAGACTTTGATTTGGTTCTGATTTCTCAAAAAATCCAAGATCCCCCCTGCTTTACTCCAGGTTGATGTTTCAGTAACAGACTCCATTGTGTCTGGGAGCAGAGAGAGAAGATGGGGGGGGTGTATTTAACAACAGAAGGCTCCAAAGCCAGCCAGACCCCCATTCGAGCAATGCTTTCCCCCAGGTCAGCAGGCACTGCACCAGAGGGTCACCTCAGTAGCTGGGAGCAGCCCAGGGCTGGGAGCTCCTGGGGTTTGACACCCCCTGCTCAGCCTTTGCTCTTCCTGCTCACTCTGACACTGTTGCCAGGGGATACAGAAACAAGCAAAAAGCAGGGAACAGAGATAAAATTAGTAAGAAGGAAACTCCTCTTTATGAATAAAGTGATCTACAGTAATGCTCAGAGCTGACAATTCCGTTGCATTTCATCCACAGACCTTTATTTAATGAAAAGGGGGTAAGTATATACATTTCAGTCTCTCAGTGCTGGGGGAGGACAAGGTGTTATGTTTTTATAGCAATGCAAACTTACAAAGTCCAAGAGGAAGAAGTATTTCCCTGTAGCCTCTGTAATTCAAATGTATTTAAAAGGTGCCTGATGCAGGCAAAAATGCCTTTTCTAATTCTTGGTCATTTTTGTTGTCTCACCCAGAGGGTGACAGTACAAGCCAAAAGGTTTGTGCAAGCATTTGTACATTTGAGTCTTCTCATTGTCACAAGCTACACCAGGGGAGGTTTAGGTTGGACATGAGAGGACTTTCTTCACAGAAAGGGTGATCAGACATTGGAATGGGCTGCCCAGGGAGGTGGTGGAGTCTCCATCCCTGGAGGTGTTTGAGACTGGACAAGGCACTCAGTGCAATGGTCCGGTTGATGGGGTGGCATCAGGTCATAGGTTGGACTTGATCTCACAGATCTTTTCCAACTTAATTGATTCAGTGATTCTGTGATATTAAAATGATGCATTATAGCTTATAATTTACCTCACAAGTTGTGCTTAGTCCTGTACCTTTCCCTTGCTCACCTTTGCTTCTAACCTAGGTGTTTTACCCTGGTATAAATTAGACTAAACATGTTGCAGATTACCATATTGGTTTTACAAGTATCTTAAAACTGAAACAGAAATAATCCTAGATATGAAATCTGAAATAAAGCATCAAGCTGTACAAGTGGAAAAAGCAGAAGGACAAGTTCCTGAAACACTCCATAACTTTATTAAAACACAAAACATATGATGATTTCTGTGACAACCACAATAATTAATTTAGCGTCCTCCTGAGTAGTTGATAGAGGTTCCAGTCAAGTTTTTCCATTCTGTCATGTTGTGACATTTACATGAGTTTTGGGGGTTTTATTATTTGTGTATATAGTTGAATTGTATATGCATTTATTCTGGCACTACCTTGGCCAAAATCTAAAAGTAGAAATGTGGGTCAAAGTCAAGATGTGTTGTGACATGGCACACAGGATGTAACGTGTGGATGATGAGGAGATAAAGCTCACCTATGCAATACCTTCCAGGAAGTTAAACATGTGAGTAAAGGGAGTTTCCATAGGCAAGTTTATATGTGCCTCCTCTTGCTGGTATTTTTATTTTTTTGAGGAGGAGAAGGGAAGTGTGATGTTGACTGGAGGGCAGGATTTGCTAACAGTGGCTTATGGTCCATACTGATACAAGGTAGGATCCAAATATCGGTGAGATGTTAAAATACTAAGACAAATTTATAGAAAATGTCAATATTCCAGAATAGGCAGGGGTTGTACCTCTGCACAACAACAAAACAACATAAATTGGCTTTCAGTTTTCAATTCAGAATGTAGCTCCATTCTCAAAACAGCTAACCATAACCACAGTTAAAATACGTATCATTTTATCTCCTCAGGTTTTTAAAATTAATAAATGGAATATGAGACAGGCCTCTAACTTGCAAATTAACACTGTTCAGGGGGTACAGTAATAGCTGAGTTTTACTCCAGAGTAAAACAATTAGCAAACAAAAACACAGTGTAGAATTTCTAAAGCAATAGGGGGTCTTTGTGTCATTGGCTTTAAATCTCTGTTGCAGGAGAGAGGAATGAGCCTGGATGTTGTATGAACAATGGAGAAGTTCCAAGGGCTTAGACTTCATTAAAGCAGCTCAAAAAAGTCAGGATCTATTTAGTCTTTTGTGACACAGAGTTTTCCCATGAAAGTAGAAAGGTTCCCATGCAGAGGTCATTAAGGGTTTTTATAACTTCTTATAAGTTCCTATAAACTTATAAGGATTTCCCTTCTATGCATTATGTGTCATGAATGTTCATTTGTTTTACTTAATGAGTAAAGCACAGTGCATTTAAGAATCTGACTGTCTTTGAGCTCATTCCTGGACTTCAGTGAAGTTCATGCCAAATCACATACGTATATGGGAATAGGGGGGAAATGGTGAGGATGTACTTTATCTCCATTGGCTAGTCTGGGTAGCAATATATTTCTGTGATTTCCTCTCACAGTCTCCCAGTGAGGCCCTCCCAGTGTAAAAGTATGCAGTTTATTCCACAAATGCTGTTATGTTTCCTAATTCCTATTGTGGTTTCTTTTGTATTTCTGCACACCAACTTCATGCTTCTGTTTCACAGAAAGTGTACATTCCAACGTTGAAGTCTCTTTTCCTTTTTGGCAATTGCATCTGGCAGCTTCAGTAAAACCTTAAAACTGCTCCAGGTGGGTTTGTCACGGGTGCTGATACAGTTCTGTTTCCTGTGCTCTCCTCCTCTATTGCAGCCCCACTGTCCTGCCCAAGTCTCAGCTCTAACCACAGCAGTAGTTTTAGTGCTGGCCATTCATAGTCCTGTGTAGCATATTCTTATTGGTAAAGTGGCACAGAGAGAGAGACAGATCATCTAGAGTTTAACAAATAGTTTTGGCAGAGAACTATGCTTAAATTATTTTCTTTGGCAGATAAATGGACACAGTCCTTCAGTGTTTTGATATATGTTAGTCTATTGACAGAACAAACAGTTAAGTGGGATAATACAGTCCAGCACATGCATTAGTTGGCCAAGATACACACATACTTACATAACTGTTCTTTGCATTATCATAAAACTGACATTGTCATAACAGTTTTGTTTTTAATAAAAATAATTTTGAATTCTATGTTTTGGAGTAAACAAACTGGGAAAAGAAAAACAAAAAAACAACAAAAATTTCAAAAAGTTGTAAGAGGAAAGAAGGAAGAAAAAAGAACAAAATGAGGTTGTTTCTAGACATCTCCATTCTCAAAAGATTCATGAAAATCTATGAAAGGCATTGTACATGCTTTCAAACCACTGTCTGTGCAATATTCAGCATTTAGAAAGGTGTATAGAGAATGAAAATGTTCTTACAAGATGAAGATGCGTCTTTGTATTCATTTTAAATGGGAGTAGGGGTATGAAAAGAACACTGTTATGGCACTTATGTAAGTTGGGTGTCAAACACTTGGAGCTTTGAGTATTTTTTGACATAGAGACAATCAGAACTCAGAATTAGTCCTTGATGAATTACACTGGATTCTTCCTGTGAAATTATTACAGTAAATTAATTGATTATAGATTGTGTAATAGAAAACAATATTTTGGGTTTGGATACCTACTGTTACAAATGGCCCCATTCACAAGTTGTTTTTTTTTCCCATTCAGCAGCACAGAATTGGCTGAGCAGCTTTAAATCTTGCTGAACAATCACTTGATGGGCTGAAAGGAACTTGGTTCAAGTTCTCATATTTAGATACTCTATTTGGAATGTTTTCAGTTATGTGTGAATGAGATGAGAAAATGCCCAGTCTGAAATAATGTTTTTTTATTTACAGTAAGGACAGTGACTACATAGAGAAAACTCACTGAAAAAGCTGTCATGGTTTGTGCCACTTTCCCGTTGCAACCTCCTTAGTGTCATGTGTGGCTGTAGGTAACAGGTGAATTCCAGAACTATTTCTCCAGATGGCTTGAAAATGTTTATACAGCTGTTTAGGTGATCAAATAGCCAAGAAAATAATTATTAGTTGGGAAACTATCATTTCTATAAAGCAGTATGCAGAGTATCTGTATCATATTTGCTCTACTTTCACTGCTAATCTAAGTATGGTTTATATTTGAATTTGCACGTGTGACATTTTGACAGCATCCAAACATAATTTTAACCTGTGTCATAGTTTGCTTTTAAAACCGAAAAGATTTGCATTTTTTTGCTAAAAAAATTAGAGATGACAAGACAAATTGTGTAAATTAAAAAAAAAAACAAAAAAAAAACCTCAGGCTTTTTTTTTTTTCTTTAGAAAAAATGGCAGTTGACATTTTACATGGCAGAAATTAAACGTGCTTAAGTCTCAGTTGTTTGTTTGTTTTTTTTACTTTAGGAACACGTACATTCAAATTTTAAGTGTTCATGCAAAAGGGATAAAAATACAATGTACTGTTAAAGGAAAATTACGTATACATTTTCTTTTCAAGTTTTACAAAAACAGTTTTAAATTTAAACTTTTCTGTATTACACCTAGTCCCAGTAATTCAAATTCAGGAGTGCCACAAGGGTTTAAAAAAATAGAAAAGAATGATGAGTTAAAATAATGGAGTTAGTAAAGGGAATTGAACAGCATGGATTGAGAGAGGTCTGAATCAGCTGAGGTAAGAGCAAAAGATTGTTGAATAATGTTCAAGGAAATTATAGGTTTTTCTGAATTGATAGTTGATTAATGTAGAAATATGAAATCTTGCAGATCAATATAATTTTTATTTTTTACTTTATTACCAAAGGCCAGATTTTTGTTGCCAAGGTGCACAAAATGGAAGCCACTGCCAAGGTGTGTGGCTTACTCTGTTAACTGTCTTTGGAAATGTGTCAGGAGTTGGAATTCCAGGAAGATTTGGTCATTTCCCCTTAGTCAAGGCAGTCCAGGCCATTGAGATGAAGCTGTGATTAACTTGCACTACAACTGCTCATAATACTCCCTGTATGCAGAGAACATCCTTCATGAGGAATGTCAATTTGACATCTGCTAGATGTCCTGTTGAAACATAAAAAATGCTTTAAAACTATATAAGTGCACTCAGTCTTGCAGAAAATCTTCCTTGGCTTAAAAACGTGTGATTACATATGAAATGGATTGATTTCTATCCACACTTTGTATTACTCTACAGCACTTGCAAAGCTGGCTGGATGCACCGTGTGCTCCTTTTCTATGCTGGCAGTAGTTCATTGTGAGATCGATTCATTCTCAGTAACTTGGACGCTGCCACACCAGACAAGCAGGAAATTATTTTACGTTTAGAGCATCAAACCAATGTGAGTTTTAACACTGATTATATTCAGCGTCACTGAAGGTAGGAACAGTTACAATTTGGAGGTTTTAGTGTTCTACAAATAAAGATTCTCTAGCTCCTCAGTGTAAAGAAAATTGGGGCTTGATTACAGATCGTGACATTCATGTTATCCAAAATTGCCTTTTCTCAAATGAATTTCAAAATTTACCTATGTATTTACATATTACATATTACTTTATTGTTATCATCGAAGAGCTGATTTACAGATTTCTGTTACAAGCAGAACTACATATTTGGATGGAGTTAGATTTTGAATGGTAAAAGGAGATTAAGAAATGCAACTTCTGTCTCTGCCCTTCCTTTCCTTTAAAATATCTCATTTTTTACTTTCTGCCTTATACTGTGTTTTTGCATATCATTATTCCTGTGCCTTTTTCATCATACGTAACGCAGCTGTGGCAATCATCAGCAGTTTTTATTGAAGGTACATTGGCACAAATAACAAGTTAGTGTTTTGAAAACTCAACTTGGCAGCATTTCTGCTGAGCACCAATACTAGGGTTGTTTTTTTTTTTTTTAAGTGGTAGTGAGAGTAAAAATTTCTCATGTTAGTAAGCAGCAATCCAGCCTAGCTTTTGAAGCTTAGCACCACAGTCTACAGGACTGGAGTGGTCGTACTGCAGAACAGTGAGGATAAGTACTGGTTGGTATGACTTTTCTAATAGTGGGTTAATGAATAGAGAATCAACTGAATTTTTTTCTACTGTGCAAGTGGGACCCAGTACACATTTCAGATCTTGCCTCAGCCAACAATGTGAGTGTGATTGGAGTAATTCAGCTTTGCAAACTGATGATCAAAGTTTGGCCTAACCACCTAAACCAGTGTGGATATAGTGAGATTTCTGCAGTGTGATCAGAGACCTGATAACCTATAGTGAACTAATCAGAAACTAAAGGGGGAGGAGAGTGTGTGGATGTGTGTGCACACAAGGGTCAGAATCAGTGCTAGAGAACACTTTTGCCTTAAGCATTTTGCATTTTTGTGGATAAGCTGAGGTGAACCTGTGTGGTCCATGCGCATCTGTTATGGCCTGTTGTTGGTCCTTCCTGCTTGGGGTGTGTGATGGGCTGGTATGGAAATGGTTTTGGGTCTACCTCCATGGAAATATCCTAGACTACATAAAATGTAAGTACCACATATGTTTCTGAGCCATGCAAATGATTTGTTGGTGCTCTGAATGGAGTTGATTTGTTTGGCAGTGTCATAGAACTGTTGTGTAGATTAAATACTGCTAAGTCTTGAGAAAGGGGAAAAAAGTGAACTTTAGCTCTTACAACTTCCATTAATTTGTTTCTTCTAACTTCAAATAGAATATTGTATCTTTTAAATTTAATTTATACATGAAATTAACAGTATTTAACAAACTTTAAGTAGGGTTAAAGAGACAGGGTGCTATATTGGAAAAGTCAGTTTTGTATCTTTTTTTTGGGTAAAGATTAGTAAATAAATATCAGTTTCTACTGTCTTTTAAACTAATGGTGTATATTGTTTAGCTTTGTTCTTATGCACACTCTGAAGCTCCACTTTTTAAGGTGTATGTAGTTGTATATGTAGACATTTTACTTTTTAATGCAATCGGCCACTTTAAAATTACCTTTAAAATTTTTAGTTCTCTAGTGCTTCACAACTCATCTGTTTTTCTGCTGATTTCTTTTGTCTCCTCACAAATTCAAGCTGATAAACTGGCAAGTAAATTCAGACTGTCCTGGTCCGACTTTTCAAAGTAGGTGTATTTAATGGACCATTTTCCAAGAAAGATTGCTGCCGTGTAACCAGAGACAGGAGACTTTGAGAGGAATCCAAGACGGAATTCACAATATCAATTAGGTTGGAAAAGACCTCTGAGATCATCGAGTCCAACCTATGACCCAACACCACCACGTCAACCAGACCACCGAGTGCCACGTCCAGCCTTTCCTTAAACACCTCCAGGGACGGTGGCTCCGCGCGGCCTTTCCCGCTCCCGCCGGGGGGTGGCGCTGCCGCCCCGCGCGGCCGCCGCGTCCCCGCCCCTCCGCCATGGCCGATGTGGAGGACGGGGACGAGCCAGGCGCCCCCCACTCGCTGCCGGGCTCCGCGGGCTCCAAGGCGGGCGGCCCCGACAAGATGTTCTCGCTGAAGAAGTGGAACGCGGTGGCCATGTGGAGCTGGGACGTGGAGTGCGACACCTGCGCCATTTGCCGCGTGCAGGTCATGGGTAAGCGCCGGGCGGGCCGCCATGGCCGCGGGGCGGGGGGGCCCTGCCGGGCGCGGGGCCGTGCCCGGGCCGTGCCCGCCGCCCCGGCTCGGCGGGCGCAGCGCTGGGACGCGGTTTCCGGCGGGAGGGGGGGCTGATCCTCCCGCCTCCGCTTCCTCCTCCGCGCCTTCCCCAGAGCGGGAGGAGGAGGAGGAGGGCCCCGCGGGGGCCGGGCCGCCGCGCTCCGGGGGCCGCACCAGCCCCGCGGCCCCTCCGGCGCTGTCGGGGCAGCAGCGAGAGCGCCGGGCCGGGCCGCCCGTCCCTCGGCAGGGCCGGGCCGGGCCCGGGGGGGCCGTGCTGCTCTGCCCGGCCCGTCCTGGGCAGGGCCGCCCTCGGCTGAGGGCTGTGCCGGTCTGCCGGCAAACCCCGCAAGCACCGAGTTACAGCCGAGCTGAGCCGAGTGCTGCATGTGCGGGGCTGCTGCTTGTGCTGTTTTGTTGGGTTTGGTTTGGGTTTCTTAATTTTTTTTTTTTAAGAAGCCGTTGCGGATGTAGATATAAATTCATTTCTCAAATCTGTTAATCCATAGCGTCTTAACACTACTCCGCAAGCCTCCTGATTACTGGTGTTGTTTAACACACATGAATGTACTGAGAAATCTATTGAAAATTAAGGGATTAATTTACCTGGTTTTGAACTCCAGAGACTCTTTCAAAGCAGCCTCATATTTGACAGACATTACTGTTTTTTCTGACGTCTTTTGCAAATACGATGTTTATCTTGGTTCTTCGAAAATTGTTTAAATTTTTCCTCTGCTGTATTTGTAAATCCGATTTTTACTATTATGCTGAGTCATCCTAGATATAACTGTCCTCTTAATAGGGCTTGGTACAGTTTGGCAGGACATATGATTCAAGATTCCCTCCAGAGCACCTTGCCTTTTTGGGTCCAGGAACCATGATACTGCAAATCCAGTCAGGATTTGGTTTAACAGAAATGAGACAAAATATGCAGTGCTGTGATTTCTCATATATGTTTTTACTGAGAACCTTCTGTGGAACAAGAGGCAAAAGGGTGTACTAGAGGAAAAAAGATGCATCACAGACTGAAGTGGTGGGAGATTCACCTTTGAACATAAGCATGTTAGATTATTTGCTTTTCTATGGTAAACAGAGACCACCCTGGAAAAATGAAATTGGCTTCATTTGCCATGTTAAGTGATATTTTTAAAATGTATTTATCCCATTATAGCTAGCTTGTTACAGGACACTAAAAGAAGTCTTAGATGAACAAAATCTTTCCCAGAGCTATTATAAAACTTAAAAAAAAAATTACAAGGTTATATTTTTTCATAACTAGTCCAAGGGAGTACTTTTAATCCGAAACTAGCAGAAAAATTTGGGAGCCATTTTTTGAGA